ATCTGCAGTTGTTGTAACTGAGAGGCAGAAGGGCCAGAAGAATTAAGCTGTCCTCCTGCAGAACGTCTCACTCCTGATAACTGAGATAGAAGCTCTGTCAAAGGAAACGAGATGATCAGTGTCTTATTTGACGTCGAGGAAAACAAAAAGCTACAGTACTGGGTGAACATCCAAAGCACTGTGAGCAGGGAGGGACACCTAGTGACACACACGCAGCTCTGCTAGGACCTCATACCGTCTAGCCTATCTCTTGGGGGCAGGAGTCACTGTACAGGGAATGCAGAAACCTCAATATTTCTGTGTTCAACAAAACTTAAGAATGTTTGTAAAATTATCTGCATTAAGTACTAATTTATTTATACTTCCTCTTAAAACTTGGAATAGCTGGGCATGGTGATGTACACCTAAATCCTAGCACTGTGCCCTGAGTTCAAGGCCAACCTGAATGAATTACATAGCAAGAATCTGGCTCAAAAATCAAACAAGAAAACTTATGGTGGGCCACCAATAGGCCTACCTGTAAGCTCTTTCCATCTGACTTCTATAGAAGGAGCAAACAAGGCTACTGTTTTCCTAGTCCCGGAGCACAGCAGTTACTCAACTCTTATTAAAGGACTGAAGCAATGAAGTGTTAAGCTACAGCAGAGCAAGTCTCTCTCCCAACATGCTCCCGAGAGCCAGGGGCCCAAGTGTGCAGGCTGTACAGTGGCCCGGCTCCCATCATGCATCAGGAGCACATGGAGGGCTAAGGGTGTGGCTCGGGGCACAGCATCTGCCTGGTGTACAACACCCTCAGGAGGTCCTGGAGGGTCTGTCTGGGTGATGGGACGGGCTATTTCCTGGCCTGCCCTTGGGTCAGCACAGGGTGCTGCTTTCCAGTAAGACTCCTGAACAGGATCACCTTGCTTTCTGGCTCTCTGATGCTTTATCCAGCTATCTTCACACCATTCTGTCAATCACTAAAAATGTACTCATTTTTACTCACACAAAAAAGAGAAATGGAGAAATTCTAAATTTTGACTTTGGTTCCTAGAAATTTATCTTTCACATTTATTACTAAAAAGAGCAGGTAAGTAGTCCCTTTGAATATAGAAATATTTAAAAAGCATTTTCCAAAACTCAGTTTACTGGGGTCCTGTTAGAATTAAAATTTTACACTGTGTATTCACATTTAAAGAGCATTCTGAGGAAAACTGTTCCAAGTGCCTAGCACCTCAGCAGATCAGTCGGATTTAAGGGTGCGGTGAGGTGTGTCTCGCACCAGGCACACCCGCAAGGACACACACGCCCCAGCGCGGCTGCTCCCTCGGATCCCCACACTGTATACACTGGAGCGCAGCTGCCGTCTTCACAGGTCCACATCTGACTCGCCCTGGCCAGAACATACAGGCTCAAGCTATTAAAACATGTTCTCCAGTAGTTCTACAATACAGCCATCAAAGCAAGACAAGAACAGAAATTCTTGCATTCTTCCATGAGCTCTTAGTTATTTAGTTTTGCCAGTTACCTTTTCTATTCATATAGGTTTTTTTTTTTTTTTTTTGCGGAACCTGGGATTGAACTCAGGCCTTTGCGCTTGCCAGGGAAATGCTTATTCCACTGAGCCATCTCCCCGGCCCCTCTATTCATATACTTGAGTCTGAGCTGTGACTGGAGGCTACAACACAACATGAAACCTTCCCAAGGTATCTCATGCCCCTAATGACTCAGTGCATACAGACCAATGTGAACTGTGTTACACTGTCTACTTTTATATTTTACACTTGGGGTTAGGGGTGCAGTTCAATGGTAGAGCACTTGCCTAGTGGTTGAGGCCCGGGTTCAATACCAAACACCACAAAAAACGACAAACAAAAAAACCCCATTTGTAAAATATTTGGAACTTTTAGCTGGGTTGAGTGGTATATTTCCATAATCCCACCACTGGGAAGCTGAGGCAGGAGGATCCCAAAGAGGGTTATACAACAACTATAAAGCCAGTCTGGACAAAATATCAAGAACCTATCTTCAACACCAAAAAAGGGCCTTCTGTGAAGAGAATAGGCAGGCAGGTGATCAGGAGTAAGACTAAAACCACAAACCCCAAAAGTATTTAAAAAGGCACTCCCTTTCCCCCTATTCCTTTATGAAGGTGAAACTAACTTACCAGCTATAGGATCCATGGCTTCCCTATTGCTTGGAGAATATGAACTCTGAGAAGAAGAAAGTCCACCAGTAGAACTGCTAGTAAAGTGCATGTTTGATCTACGGGCGCGAGGACCTCCTAGTCCCCGGCCAGGGTGAAACATTCTACGTACATGTCGAACACCACTCGATTCATCATAACTCAAAGGTTAAGGATAGCATCAAATATTTCATAGAAAGGAAAACATCAGTGAGCCCTCACTAGATAAACACAAAGTTCCTAAATTGTCAGCATTTTAAAATAGCACATTCAATTGGGAATATAAATATCTTAACTCTCTGAAGCCTATTAATCCTAAAAAATATAAAGCAAAATTGTATGTGTGAAATGTGTGTGTGTGTATAAGGTTAAAAAAGTCCCTTTGGGAGCTTAAGTGCAGTAGGGTCCTGGGATGCATGAGGTCATCATTCAAATCTCAGAACTGCAAAACACAAAAATAAAAACAAGAAAATTTCTCTGGGAAAAGAAAAATTTCTTCCCTGGCTCCAGAGGAGTAACACGGACAGATGCCTGGTCAGACATCTGGAAGGAAATAGTTGATATTTTAATTGCAGTACTGAATCCCATATATGTGCATGTAGTCCATGTAGTAAATACCCATTTTTCTACCTGGCGAGAACTGTATTAATCTAAGACAGCATTTATCACGAAGTTGGACACCAGCACCCTCATCTAGCTCACACAGCTGAGCCAAACAGAAGGGCTGAATAGAAACAGCCACCAGCCATCCCAAAGACCAGCCAGGTGTGGTGGTGGGGACCCCAGCTGCTCAGAAGAACAGCCAGGAATATGAGGTGGAGGATGACCTGCACTGCGTAACGACTACAAGGCCAACTTGGGCAGTACGCCAAGACCTTGGCTCAAAAATAAATGAAATAAAATGAAAACCAACCAACCTAAAGCAAACACCAAACAACAACAACAAAAAAATCCCATGAAGACAGGCCCAGTGCAGTGGCAGACACAGGTTAGCCCAGCTATTGAGAAGGCTAAGGCAAAAAGATTCCAAGTTCAAGGTCAACTTGGACAACTTACAGAGATCTGCTCTACAAATAATAAGGGCTGGAACTGCAGTTCAGTGATAGAACATTTGCCTAGCAATGGAGCAGGCCCTAGGTTCAATCCCCAATACTGTAAAAAAAAGAACAAGGGGCTGGGGAGATGGCTCAGTAGAATAAGCGCTTCCCTGGCAAGCGCAAGGACCTGAGTTCAATCTCCAGTTCCACCAAAAAATAAAATAAAATTAAATTAAATTTAAAAAAAAAAAGAAACAAAAAAAACCCCACTCACAACTCATATAGACCCATGGTGGGACAGGCAATCAGACATTGCAGAAGAAAATTTTCTTTCAAAGTGGCAAACAGAGCAACTTTACGCAGATGAACAATTTTGCTGGTGTCCCAGTTTTTTAGCTGATGGTTTTGGTCTTTCAGGGACACAGGGCAAGGAGCTTCGCAGGCCACCAGGGACCACTGTCAGGTACATGGCTTCATGGTTCTACCTGTAATAATGGTCTGGGGTCTAGAGAAAGTGAGGTTGTGACTGCTGTGCTTTGTTTTTAAGATGCAGATGGGAGCCAGGGACACAGCTCAGTAGAATAAGCACTTGCCTGGTAAGTGCAAGGTCCTGAGTTCAATCCCCAGTACCGCCAAAAAACAGAACAGATGGGTGTGGAGCGCCCCTTAGGGTGGCTGCCATTGAGACAGGAAAAACAAGTCCAGTACACACTAGAGCTCACTGAAGCTACTTCCTGAGCTCCCACAGAGACTTCCTACGTACGATTTGTACTGATGCACCTGAAAAAAATGCCTATGTTTTCAGGATAACCATCACAGCAACATCCCTCCCCTCAGAACTTTTTTTTTTTAACATTTATTTAGAGTGTGTGTGTGTGTGTGTGTGTGTGTGTGGCCAGCTCAGCCCACCAGGGGGCGCAGCCGGCTGGCATGTGTGCTGGGGGATCGAACCGCGGTCCCTGTGCTGTGCTTTGCCAAGCTTGTTCCAAGTAGGTGCTTTAGACCACTGAGCCATCTCTCCAGCCCCCCCTCCCCTCAGAACTTAATGGTAACAAAAACATGTCTTTTCTTATTTTTAAATTTTGCATAGTTTAATCTTTTTCCTTGCAATATCTTTAAAATACTTATAAAAATAGACACAGACAAACTGGGATATTCTGGTGAATGGACACTGGCATTATTAGAGGCCTCAGTATTTGCTGACAAATTTTAGGTGTCAATTTAAAATTTGCTTAGTTCTTCTTTGTGAAGACAGAACGGAATATGGATCAAGCATAACCCTTTGGGGTATTTGTAAAGAATTTAAAAAACACAAAATGCCAGCAAAGGCTTCCATATTTCTGGCTCATTTGGGAGTTCTTCATTACACTTTTTCATGCTCTTGTCATGCCCCCTGCAGACGGGGAGTGAAGCTCTTGCTGGCTTCCTCCTACTCACTGACTACCACTCCCACTTGGGTTTCTCATGGGCGGCTCCAGCTCCTCACCTTCCCATTTATCTCCCTACTACATCTTAAAACACGAGAAAAGAGAGAGAGAAAAAAAAAAAAGAAATCTCATTTGCAAGAAAAAAATCAGAATTTTTGAATGAGGGATGGGAGCTCTAAAACAAGAAAATCCCTAGTTTGCTGCCCAACAAGTCAAAGGTTAGGCTATGATTACCAGAAGGCAATCAAAGGTATGAGAACAAAGTCTGGCAGAGAGAGAAAGTTCTGATTAGCCCTTGAATGGCTTCAAAATGCAATGAACGCTGAAACCTTGGTATAAGAACAGAAACCTAATAGGTGACAGTTTTAGCAAAAGTAATTCATAACCAGAAAGCAGAAGCAACGTGTGCACAAAGGTAACTGCTCTGGTAAGCCAGTCGTCTTAGGGAACACAGAGAGAAGTCTCCTGAAAGGCGGGAGAGGGCTTGCAGAACCTAGCAGGAGTTACACCACCCTACTCAGAGCCTGGGAAGCAGCCTTCTCTGGAGGAGACCCCACAGGGAAAGGATTTCGCTGCTTGCCATCCCATTACCCCACACCCACGACAGGGTAAGGCCCCAGAGGAGCATAGAGTAGAAGCACAAAAGCCTCTTTACGTTACACTAATTCAGTCTTAATTTGGATTAAGATTTTCTTCTTTTGGATGAAATCACCTTTCTGAAGCATTTCCAACATGGTCAAACTGCCTTTAAAATTCTGATAACTAAAGTAATGAACTAAAGATGACAGGCCAGTCAAGTTTCACTTAGCACACAGTTCAAATAGTTCAGTGCATAAAAAGAGAAATAAGAAATATCTCTCTGCTCTGAGTCAGTTTTAGGAAAAGGATTTTAAAATAAATAAAAATAATTTGGAGATTAATTGCTTTCTAGGGACACCGTCCTTAAGAATAACCAAAATGGCAAATGGCACAAACAATTCTTTCTCTTATTGGCTCTTAAAAGGATATTAAATCTCTAGGGGCTCTGTGTTCAAGTGTAAGATGAGCTGCAAAGTCATCCGTGACATGATTAGGATCGCCTCCAGGTAACGCTGCACATATTGGACAAATCTGAAAATGAAAGAAAGCAAGTTTAATCAATGGACACTGATCAGACATCTTTCTGGACCACTACTTTGCTGTAAGTTTTGCTATTCACAAGTTCCACAAAGGCAATACCACAGCCCCGCATTCGTGAGGGCTGCACACTGGGCTGCCTCTCCTAACCGAGGCCGTCTCCACCGCTCCCACACCAGACACACAGCCTCCAACCGCCACCCGTGGGGAAGCCTTAGCACTGCCTGCCCAGTTCTTATCTGCATGGTCTGACAGTGACAATGAGAACAAAAAGTTCCCACAAAAAGTTTAAAAATACTCTTTGGCGCACACATACGTCGGAGCCCAGTCTTGTATGGTAAAGACGGACTGAGGCCTTGAGCACGCTTATCCAACGTCGGCCGCCCTGACAGCCGAGGTCTGACAGCAGCACAGCTGTGCGAGCAGGGCCATCCACTGCGTGGAAGGAGCCGGGCAGTGCGGCGGTCCATGACAACACACAGTTGCTCTCTACGTTCTTGACGGGCTCCCAGAAGAAAACAGGGTGGAGCTCATGTTAGAAGCGTATTTCCTAGAGGAAGAGGCAGTGCCCAGCTTACACAGAAGGAGCACAAGATCAACTTCCCTGGAGGCTTTATGGCAAGAGACACACGGAAAAAGAATAAAACAGTCTATATCAGGCAGAGTTCAGAGGGTGCTTGATGGTTTGGAAAGGCAAACTTGGGGACAAAAGTTCAACAGAACTGGGGAAGCAGGTGGCAGGAGATGGGAAAGACTAAGGCCCTCAGCTGTCTAGAACCCCCACGGCGGTCTAGCAGTGGTCAAGCCTTGAAGGAAGAACAA